CAGTAAAAGTACATAGAATGCTAAATGCCGGCATAAGTGAGGGTAAAAAAATGCGAATAGTCAATATGTTTTTGCTGTTTACACAGAGTATTTCAAACTAGATTTAAATCATGGTATGGACTGATGACAAAGCTTGGAACCAGTGTCACACGGTATCATGCAACGTGTAGTGATTACTTTGTTCCGTGTCACCGAAAACAAACGCATTGCAATAAATTAAGCTAAAGTCTGTAACTCAGTCAGGAAGCTCCTCTCATTTTGCGGCCCACAAAGTGTAACGTCTCATCGTTAAACCATTCAACAACATGTCTTAGGGGTTGGCGCTTCATATGAGGTCAGTTTCGGTTCTCTTCATTATGGGGTGAGTGGCTGTTATTAGTCGAAGAACCTACATGTTTAGATGTAACGCCAACATTTTTAGATACAATCCCAATTAGAGGCATGAATTGGGATGAAATGTCAGATTAATCGTTGTGCACCGATCTCGTTGCGAAACGTGGGTATGGAACAACTTATCGTGTACTTAAGTCAGTGAGTAACAAGATATGAATAGAATAACCCAAGGATGTTTATCTGACGAAAAAACTTGGTCTTGCGGATGGCTGAGTCATGTCGACTACTCACAACGCAAAACACCAAATATTGCGTCCTTTGATGTAATGAAAAAATTGTGGGCAGAAATGACTTAAACTCAGAACGATGTGTATGTACCGTTAAGTGATATTTTCCCACTATTTTCATAACATTTGGACACTTGGTATCATGATAGAGTTTAATATCGTCCCTCTGTATCATTCACTACTACAAAAACCTTTTATGTTTCTCTGCAATTGTCAGTTTGATGAGGCCTATAAACTGGCTTCTCTCATGTTAACTTCATAACTTGAGAACAAAGATATTTATTTATTTATACTTATACATCAGGCACTATGCAGTTGCTGTACACAATAATATGGAAATCCTTATTGAAATGCTTTATCAAATCATCGCTTGTGACAACACCATTCATTTGCTCTAGAGAAACAGAGTGAAGGTGATCCACATTATCGAGCTACCAAATACCGGAGTTCGTTTCCGAATTCGATCCTCCGGTTCCTCTAACAAGTTCAGCTACAACTGCAATTTATTCTCCCCATTATAAGTTGCCCTCTAGATCATCATCAGCAAACAGCATTGAAGAGGCATACAACAGATATGGTGATAGTCGGTCAGAAGGAAATCTAGGACTCGACTCTTCGAGGTTTTCCCAATGACCGGTTTACACTGAGGTATCATTCTGTTTATCCCTACTGTTCCGGATCCATCCAGTATGCCGTCAAAATCCAAAGTGCTACCTGAAGTTGAGTTACGCCCATTAGTCTACATAGTAAGTAGCCGAAAATCACAGGGTTATGCAGGAACAGAAAGAGGCCCAGTTCCGTTCGTTTCCGTTATTAGGTGGATTACTACAACTTTTGGTGCTAATTACACAAGCTCTTTAAAAGCCACACACTCTTCTTGCATGCTACTAAGAATATAGCACAGGGATTAAGAGAGGCTCAGGTGCTTTTGTCGCAAACGTCTACATAGGGTTAAGCGACAAACCCTTTTACTGTGTTAAGTAAGGAGACGTACTGCATCGAAGACCTGGAATTGTCCTGCAGGACGTAGAAGCGATCACAAATGGGTCAACTGGTTCACACAAGCAAGCAAAAAAGGTTGGGTATATGGAAGTGAACTTGAAATGTGGTTCCCTTCCTTCTTTTGCAGACTATCCCATGAACTTATACTTACCAAGAGATGGTTCATTGCCGATATGCGTCTGTGGAAATCGCGACGGATGAATGAAGTCGGTGAACTTCTGCTTTGGAATCTGTTTAGAAGGGGGTTATACAGAAACTATATGTCTGAATAAATTTATGCTAAATGTGTGCGCATATTTAGTAGTTTCTGCCGTGTTGTAATGAATAGCGAACCTTCTATTATTAAAGGAATGTTAAGCAACTTGAACCCGAGTAAGTCTTCGGGAAGTGGCGGGATTCACGCTAAAGTGTGCAGATGCTCGTTTCGGAAGGCGGGTTACCCTGCGGTTGGAAGTGGGTGGTTGTCGTCCCGATAAACAAAGGTAGGAACAGTCTATTTCCATGTAACTGTGATCCAGTCTCCTTGGTCTCACCTGTTGCGAAGGCCATGGAGAGGGTGATAAATGACGAATTTTGTGATTACTTACTTGGGAATTCAATCTTAAACGACTATCAATATGGCTTTCTGCTTTGAACGTCATGTAACTTGGAACAGTTGTACCTTCTGTGTTGTGGAGTAAAGCCCATGGACGGTGGTTTACTTGACTTTTGTGAGGACTTTGATAATTTGAATGATGCTCTGTGTAGGAAACTTCAGCTTATACGTGTCCTCGGTAGTTACTAGTCTGGCTTAAAGATTGTCTTTACACTACGTTGCACTCAGGGTTGGCTCCTCTTTGTGTGAGGGGTTCCCAGTGCTTAATGGTGTTCCTCAAGGTTCTATTCTGGGTTCACCACCGTTTCTTGCTGCCACCGATGGTCTACCAGAATCTCCCAATTATCATTTACAATGCCGAAGAACACTGCTGGCTACAAAACTCAAACAGGCAATAAGTATGACTCGCCTGTAAAAACTACGCTTCTTCAAATGTACCAGAGGTATGTGTTTGGGTGGGTATCGACAAGTTGTAAGTGTCCTTCAGACCATCCACATGATAGCAGGTCAACTTCAATGTATGATCGCTGTCCATGGAGAAAGCGTAGCCACAACCTTCGTATTTTATGCACATGTTTCTTCCTCTTTCAAAATCCTGGACAACTTTGCGGGCCGTGAATGATGTTAGTCTGTTGGACCCAGGGGCTTATGACTAACGCTATGAACGATTTGCTTTAGACAACCACAACGTAGCAAATAAGAAGGCAGTAGTAGAGGTATAACGCGTTTATCCCAGGCACTCTAGTGGGCGAGTTAAGCGGGCAAAATCACATGGGTACATTAAAAGTTATGCATCATTCAACTGCAGCCAACAGTGAATATAAAGTTTACAACAGATAGAAACTATAACTAAGTTTATTGGGCACTACAAGGCCACTAAGAAGGGTAACTAATTTCTTTGGGCGGTCACATTTATGAGATTGAGTCTGCCCCATGGCAGCTTTAGTGTTCCTCGCGTACGGACTGCGCTCATTCCAGCTGTAAGCCTTAAGCGTACTCTTATGCAGAGCATCTGCTCGCCGTAGATACCTCTTCAGTTGTCGATGGGAACCTTCAAGAGTAAGAACATCGTCGTTAAATACCACACTCTATATACTCTCTCCACCCAGCCAGTATTGGTCAGCATAATCGGCTACGTTGAGGTCTGATTTGCCGATGATTTTGTAATACTCATAGAACCTGAGAAATTACAGCAACACAGTCATTACCTTCCAGTAGATTCACATGACACCAAGAGACATAGGTAAGTTTTGACCATAAAATTCTTGGTCCGGAAATTGTTCCGTCACAAAATTTTTTCAACCTATTTTTTACACAAGGCCGTGTATATGTGGGACGGACAAGTACTATTTTGGCTTGTCTGTGCACCATTTGGACGGCAGCAACTTCTGAGCGTGAACAATCCATAAGGAAAGTCTGTGTCGTTCCTGTCCCCAGCACGACGTCTCAGAAACTATCTGGTACCCATATAACATCCTTTTTAACTCTTTCGTCATCCATACAAGCAGCACAGGACGTCCATGACCGCAGTTATCAGTAATCGCCAGCTAAAACGACCGGTACCTATCTAATAATCGTTAAACTGAGACTTTACCCCCCCCTGTTGGTATTGTAAACAGAGTCGATCCCGACTACCGGATGTCTGTGATATAATTATATCTGCTCAGTTGTGTAAAAACACCCTCTAGATAACACTTGGGAACCACCGTTCTCCGAAAATTGCCTTAAACTTCCCTTCTGACTCAAAAAGTCTAATATTTCGGATTGCGTCCTACTGTCTAGAAAAAATTACAATAATAATTGCAAAGCCACCCTTAATGGCTTTCAACTTCATATATCTTACATCCTTGGCGGTAACAACCTTGTTCCACTCATCCATGATACGTAGAACAACATCATCTGCAGCGGATGACTGCTGCAGAATACGTCTCAAATTCTCTATCTCTTCTCCTGTTAGTCGTCTACTCCATGCATCACAAACCATAAACGACTGAGTACAAGGATAGTTGTGGACCATCGTATAAGATCTAACAGTACACTCATTCATCTCCGATGCAAACGGAAACACTGATGAACAGTTTTGAAATTTGGACCTAAGACTATTCTCACAGATTGGAGGAATTACCGTTTATTAATCAACCTTAGACCTTGGGGTTTACGGTTCACTCCGAAAGGACACCTACAAACGACAGCCTTGTGCTTCAGGCGAGAATCTGCTGACCTCTTGCTTTTCACATGAATATAGTGAGTGCAAGTAACCTGTGTTCATCGTAAAATACGACAGTCATATACTTTCAGAAGTTCACTGACTGCATCCTCAACAGCTTTCCAGCTGAAGAATGATTTTGACAGTATTACTTCCTTAAATGCCTTGGTTCTGTCTACTGAGACCACGACATTCTCAGAAGCTTGGGAAGTGCGAATTAAAAATACAGATTACTCAGTAAATGACAGCGGGAAAATCAAGTAGCAAGCATAATACAGGAGGATTGATACTTCTCAGTGCACACTGGTGCTTAATAAAGACTGGAAACCCACTTGATCGGAGCCCCTCACACTTATCTTGATGTACAATTACTAGCGTTTTGGACACATTCCGATTTCCCGTTACAAACTCGCCTATAAAAGAAAATAAATCAACAACATGTCTCCAATAGGTAGTTGGTGGTAATATAGACCTCTTAAACCACAAAAATTTCCATTTATTAGGTGCAGTCTAGCCAATTCTAGACAGAAACTACCCGAACACGATCAAATATGACAGACCCGCTTCACTTTTGTTGCTCAAGGTCGACTGGAAATGAAAGCAGCCTAATTCGTTTTGGGTCATCGTGTATTTTTATGTAGTAGACCTCCTCAATGTAGGTTAAAGTATAATTTGGGTTTTCTTCACTTTTTTTTTGAATAAATTGCTCGGTGAATGTCTTCACTGCCATATCAGTTAGCGTAAGGTTGATTGACATTTACTGACAAAGACGAGCTCATGAGATCACCCTCTAAAGGTTGGTCTCACCTTGTATTCATCATGGTCAACCAGTTTTTCTCGGCTGTTTCCATGCGTAACAGAAGGCAAACCAAACAACAAAAGTTGCCCTGTATTTCTTGCGATAATTAAACTGTAAATAAAAGAATTAGACCTCTGTTAACATTGGATTTGTACGAAGATGATGGTGAATAGTCCTTTTTTCATGGGATTTATCCATAGCTTCAACATACTTGGGTATTACAACCTAATAATTTGCCTTATTAACCTGCTAAGAACTCAGTCAGCATTGGTATTTTTTCACACTGCGTATTGGTTTTATTGAAAGGTTTGTTTATTAGAGTAGATACCTCTCTCTTGAACATTAGTTTGGTCATCCCAAACCACTACGATACGACCTGGTCTAATTTAAAGAAACTCAGGCTCTTGACCATTTATTGTACGTAGGGTATCAGGACGTAGATCTGTAGGTGGTAATTTTAGATAAACTAATTTTAAAAAACTATGGCATTCCATTGCATGATGTCGCAAGAGTGCACTACATAAAGACCTAATTAAATGTCAGCTATGAAATGAAACTTATTTTTCCCTAGTAAAGGAAATCTGAACACAATTGCAACAAAATGGTTCACAAAAAATTTCGTAAGTACATAGCCAGTCTTATCTGGAAAATAGTTGAAGTCTTCTGGGGAATTCTAATCACCAGTCAAAATTCAAAGGCAATATCTCGTGAAGTTTTTCATGCGCTATTTGTGCAAAGCCATTAAAGCAAAATGCAGTGCCAGCAACTGGTACTAATACAACGAGTCAGGCGTAAGTTATGGATGTTGGCACCGTCAGTATACACGTTGGCTTAACTGCTATGATGCAGTTACATTGGATGTACTTAGAGGGCCTTACGAATGACGTGTCGTTACCGCAGACCCTCACCGTTGGGAAAAGATATAAATGGGTCCATCAGAAGTAATATCACTTATCATTTCGTAGACCGTGGACATGAGATTAATTTAGCAGTTTTCTCATCCATTTAAAAGTCTCCTACTTGGCAAATGTACCCATGTTACTCAAAAGACTTAGGAGATGATGCAATAATACGTGGCCTATGAATTTAGAATAAATATGTATGAACAATTTATTTACCATAGCTTACTATAAGATCAAGGCAACTTTTACGAGCAAAGAATATGCTTGCACATCGCTACCCCATTCTCTTTTTTTCATTTCTTTATGAAACAAGTCTCTAGTTTTCCAATCGTTACAACCATTTACAGTGACTCACGTTATATCCCTGCATTTGGTTATCGTATTCACATGATTTTCCATCAATCGTTGATCTTCACTTTACAGTAGTTATACTCGACCGTTAGCAGCTACCTCGATGGGGTGGTCTGGCTTGCATATCACAGTGATCCAACAAGCCATGCTGGTGGAACGCTTCTCTCAAGGTCCTCCTATACCAAAAAGGTCTATTGGATAGTGGTAAAAATACAGTAGTTACTGTAGTGTAAATCACTACAGTATGATTGGTGTCTGAGAGAGAAATCATACTGCTGCTAGCTGGGTGGAGTTTCTCTCGCATGACCAGCAGTACCACGCTGATGCTGCTTTCTCAATGGGAAAAAGCGTTAGGTCGGCCCCCAAAATAGTACACTTCACCCCTCGTGACATACCGATGCTTCCAAAAGGGATTCATGGTTAGATTCAAAACGAAAAGCAAAAATCTCAAAATAAATAAAAGGCTGCGCGTCACCGGCCTCAAGCAGATGTCCCATGGGCTCTGCGGTCACTGAAATCTTTTATATGAACATTTATCTAAATGTGACAGTAATGCTCACCCTGAGGAAACCTGGTGTGATGTTAAGTCTACTATAGATACAACGGTCAAGACGGTTCGTAACTAACCTACACACTAGGGTTAACAGATTCCATTGTATTTCTTCAATCGTCATCCAAACTGATTGGTGCGAGAAGACTAGTTCCAACTGACTGACCACGACTAAGAGCGAAAGCAACTTAAACGTAAGTTAACCGAGTCTTTGCATCGATTGCTAGCAGTGGTGGGTAGCGAAAGCTAGAGAGATGGAGAATGCATCTGGGGTGGGTGAAACTCGGTAGCTATTTGGACTTACTAAGGATACTAGCAAGAAAAAGATGATAGTGAGTGAAGTCATCACCAAAAAGGATGGGACACTCATAGCCTCTCATGATAGGTGTCTAGAACGTTGGCGTTTGAAGTGATCGCTCCCGATTCCCGGTGGGAACAGCATCACTCACTGGGAGGCAGGTACATCCAGCTGACGAGTCCTGAATAGGACGAAATGCGCATCCTGGATTCCACCGCTATCCACTGCCCATCATTACTATACATAGTTGGGTAGGACACTTTGAAGTACACTTCAACTGACTTTCAACAACACTTCAGTTGCTAAACATCCAGCCTGAACCTACGTGGGACGTAGTTGTCGGTGCTCCAACTCTCCCTGAAGTTGAGAAAGTTGCATCAAACCTAATATGATGCAAAACAGGACCTGACAGTTTGACACCTGACCATTTCTAGGATAAAGGTAGGAAATTATTGATTAAAGTGACGGGGTTTCTATATAGTGTATGGGAATCAGAAATAGTGCCTTCAGACTATTCTACTTCACTGATCATCCTAGTCTATGGAAAGGGGGATAAGTCTTCTTGTGACAACCATTGAGGAATTAGTTTGAGTAGTATTGTGTCAAAGATCTTAGGGTCCATAACTACCCGATACCTAACTGAAGCTCGGGATAACAATGCGGGTTTCAGATGTGAATGGGGCAAGGGTGCATCGACCATATTTTCACCCTACGACAGGTTCCGGAACACAGACTTACTTACCAGCGGCCGACACTTCCCATATTGCTTGACCTAGAAGTGGCATTGGATTCAGTGGACCGTGATGTATTTTAGCAGTCTGATTGTGAAGGGAGTTACCGAGCGAGTATAAAACGCTAATGAAGCTCTCTACTCGAATTCATGCAGCCACATAAGGGCTTATGGAGGGTTGTCATCAAAATCGACGACAAGTAGTGATATCCACTATCACCGTCCCCATGTAGCTTCCTTATTAGATGTACTTATGGACATAACCTTGGGTAAGTCTGACTTCACAGGGATTGATCTACTGCATGGAGGTTATCTCGTTGACTTGAAGTATGCAGACGATATTGTCATGGTAGGTGAAGACGCTGACAAAATGCAGGGTCTTCTGGAGGCGTTGAGCAGAAATCTGAGTATGTTTGGCATGCTTTTCACACTCATGAAATGTAGGATGATGCTCCAGGACTGACTGGTCTACTGTAAGTACTTCTAGTAAAATGATAGGAAGTGGAGTGGTGGAATGTGTCGACCACTTCACTTACTTGAGGAGTTACATCAGCCCACAAAAAAATCTCAGGTTGAATATAGACGTTTGAGGGTTTGTGGGGATTTAGAATAATGAATACCACCTGAATATAGAAGGCCTGTTTGGCATTTACCATTCACATCACCTGCTGCCCTGACTGGTGAGACATCCAAATATCTATCAAAGAACGAGTATACTGAGCTGCAGTCCTCTTTGTCATGTTGTACGTCTGTGAGACATGGTTGTCAAAAGTAAGAGACATGAAGTGGTTACCTGATTTTAGTCACAGATGTCCTGGTAACAGCACTCGTGTTTGGTGGCATCACTGTATGAGCAATGCTGAAGTCAGGCAAAAGGTACTAGGCAAGCTGGCCAAGTCGATTGATGAAGTTGTGAACCTTAGTCGAGTGAGATGGCTTGGACATGCACTGCGCATGTCACGCCACTTCATTACCACCTCCTACCTCGATATGCCATGCTGGGGGAAGTTGGATTAGGTTGGAGGAGGGGGTGCTCAGGGTTGCCAGACGAAGACGTTGTACCAGTCGGTGAAGTCTCTTACTGTTGACCTGATCTATGTGAGGAGATCTGGATTGTTTGGTTGTGGTCCCGAAGATGCAAAGAATCAGTGATGGACCACTGTTGGTGGCATGGTTGAAAATCGGTGACAATGGGACAAATGTATTCACTCCTTGACATCTAAAGATTGGTCGTTTGCACTATCTGTCGTGTTCAGTTTGTTTGTTTTCTTACACTACCTTGTCTACTTTGATATCACTTTTCCTATCCACCTGTGTTCTGTATACTACAGTGAAGTGTGGTAACGTGAACCAATGCACCTGCGTGCCGGTTTCTACATTAATTTAGTCAGTCAATACAACTATATATATAGTCTTTGGGATCTTTTTTCTCTGTCCAATATTGTTGTACTCAATGCATGGTCAACACGAAGCTGGTTATTGCTTCACTTTCAACACTTGCATGCCACATATTCGGCTTGATTCCCTCTTAATATTGGTTGTGTTGACGTCTACAAACCTCATTGACTATGTGAGACTGCCTTCAGTGAAGCAAAATATATTATTTTTTTACTCCCCTAACTGTTTAATACCATTAGTGTAAGTATCAAATTTGGGCACTATGGTGGGATGTAATTCCTTATTAGATTATTGTTTGATGTAGGACATAGTGATATAGCATTATTTACTAGATAATTTCGAGCAAAATGTATTGCTCATTATTTATCGTGGTAATCGCATGAGTTTATGGTCAAGATTTCATAGTTCTGTTATTCATCTTTGTATACTTTTGTACGTTTGTACATTAGCGAGGTGTAGCAATTATATGTTTGTGAAATGTTCCGAGTCTCGTTCATTTACTACGGTAACGCTACATTTGACAATTTACATTTATCCTATATAGATAACATACGATGGATAGTGTGCAGATAACGTACGATTACTTAGTACCTTCATTCATATCAACAGTAACTCACCCACTGACCTATGCCAGGACGTTAATGTTGGTAAGCTTTTTCATTTAATTCGAGTTTTTAAGTTGGGTTATGAACCGTTTCCTCCTGTTCGACGATTTGCTTTGCGCAACATCTTCCAGCCTGAATATAAAGCATACTACTACCCAAGTGTTTTCGCTTACTGTAAGTTTTTAAAAAATGTCATTTCATTGCGTTTGAAGGTCATAAACTTCGTAAAGAGGTTGGTCTGTACGGGATTTTTACAATCGGTCTTCCTGCTAGTATTATTGGTTCATTTGTAAAGTCCTATTCCACTGATAGAATTATGGAGGTACAGATATCGTAATCCATACTCACTATTCCTAAAAGCGTCTAACTCCTAACTTTTTTGAAAAGAAGACATTTTTCGAGACTGAAGAAGGGATAAGAAATTTTCTTGTTAGTGTGAGTTTGATCGTTACCCCCTACTAAAAAGCTTATATTGCAGACTAGCAAAGTTACTGTCGCCCGTGTAGTTGGTACAGTCCTTAGCTATCCATTCCAAGGTATTTAATTAATTCATTTGTTTGTATTGCAGGAAAAAAGTTGTTATGATTCGTCAAATGTCTCAGTTTATCAACAAAGCACAATTATACGAGTATGAATACAAACTAAATTAAATTAGTATATCTTTCCCCCCAGTTGTATTGTTGTTGCTTTTCCTAGTCTATTAAAACATGAAGGGTTATTAAGTTTCTTCAGGTATGTGAAAGTCTGGAAGATGTATTGATAAACTCTTCCTTTTTAGTGGTTTAACACCTAGATTAATTGGCGAAGTGATTACAGTTTGGCTGACTGCCTGTCTCGCATACTTTTTCAACAAGTATATTTTTACAAATCGCTTCGATCCCTCTTTGAAGAAGCATACTCCTTTTGTGACTGGGGTGAGTGCAAATGATTTTGCTCATTTGTTTAAAATTTTCATGTGCATAAATATTCGCTTGAAATTTCGGAACTAGGTGTTTGTTGTATTTCTAACTTTCCTCTCCCCTTGAAATCGATTCAAGGTCTTCATATCGAAATACTGACTTACTTTGTATTTCATTGACTATCTAGAATGTGAGGCAGGCTAATGGAAATGTATATCTAGGTTTTTTGAAAAGTAGTATACTATGAGTGGTGCAAATCGTGGTAAATCAATTGAAACAGTAAAAACTCGCTTTGTCGTCTGTCAAACGTGTTCAAGGAACAGAAGGAGATTAGTGATTGTTAAAGATCAAAGTTTATTTTGATACTAATGATGCATAGTAAAGAATACTCGTTTTATTTCTAAAGTGTAGATCACATTTTTTAAAAGGTTACAATAAAAAATGTATTAATAAATATTTTTATCAAAAATTATCGCAAACTAAAAGGAGTCCCTGAAATTTGTTTATCATAAGTTCTTGTGGTTGTAAAGAGTTTTCGGAATTTTAGAACATATATGAGTAAAAACTCCTCTCACAGCCAAATGTTATAGTTTCATTGATACTTCAAACTCGTTATTCTTTTACATCCAGTCTGTAGTGATAATGTATCTTTCAGTCCTGTCCACCCTCCTCTCACGGTTTTTATGCAGAAGTACAACGATCAAGTTAGGTATTTTTCTCGATATTTCAGCTTCTTAATACTTATACCTGTATTACGTTAGTGTTTCCAAATTGTGACATTGATTTTTTTCATCGTAATCTGTACAGTAATATTTAAAACAATTAGTTCCCTTTATAAACTGACAAAACAATAAGAAGACTCAAATTATCTGAACCGTATAATGTGATTGTGCAACACATTTAAAACTATCTAGTCACACTTACTTGTCATAGGTATTTATATGAAAATTCATGAGGATAAGGGGTGAGAAAATGAAAGGAGGTCAAGTAGGAAGGCTGAGTTAAAGGCCAAATAACAATGAAAACCTATAGAGCGAAAATAATAGTACATCCAACCTGGTTTTCATAGTTGAATTTACCAAGGAAGATTGAATGTGATAACAAATTATGTTAATGATGGATCGTGGCTAGCAGTGGAATCCAGGATGCGCATTTCGTCCTATTCGGGACTCGTCAGCTGGATGTACCCACCGGGATTCGGACTCGGGAGCGACCGCTTCAAACGCCAGCGCGTAATCCACTGCACCACCGAGCCACGATAGCCACAAATTGTTTATGAACACACAAAGGTGATTTTAACTTCCTTATAGCCAAGGCCTCAAGAAATTTAAGGATCCGTCCCAACACGTTTTGTAAATAGGTGTAAAGGAAGTAGCTACGTCAATCCTGTGACCTGTTTCTACGATATGTTTTTCTATCAAAGAACTTGGACGTTTGCTACCAACGCTTATGGATCAGGTGATTTAATTTGCTTCTGGAGCCACTTTGGAATATGTTCCGAGGCCCATACCTGCATGGATCTGAGTCACCACACATACATTTGAATTGGTAGATGCAATGGGATGTGACATTATCGTTCACATACTGTGGGAGTCTGGGGGAATATACTGGCATGGTGGTTTCTGTTAATCGAACTCTGGCTGCATAGTAAATTCCTAACAGCAGCGGTAAGTCTCTGCTTAAAGTTTGAGCTATAAGAGTCACCTTTGTGCGGGAGACTGATAAAGACATCCTTCTTTGAGACAAACTGAAGATCTAGTTTTGGCGCTGTAATCATCTTGTACTGCCTAATACGTTTTGATGGATAGTTATTTCCCAACAATATTTCATTCAGTGTTCCTCTTTCGTTTTCCGAAGTATCCTCTGTACATATTCGTTGAATTCTACTGAATAAGCACCTAACTAACGCTCACTTGTACTGAACCGGATAAAAGCTATGATAGTTCAAATATTGCCCTGTCCATGTAGGTTTTCTGTAGGTAGGTCTTTTTTTTGTATCCACCCTGCCTCCGACTTAATATCCAAGAATGACACGCTGTCATCTTCCACGCATGTCAAGGATATGTTGTTCTGTATTTCGTTCAGTCGGTTTAGATTGAAGTAGACTGACTTGAGTTTTCGTAAACAACCAGGATATCGTCAGCATACCTTCTATACCGATGGGCTTGGTTGGTTAGGTTCGCGACTAAGTTTTCCACGTGACATAAATATGTCAGCTAGAAGGGGACCTAAAGGACTTCCTACGACAACTGAATCAACCTGACAGAAATGTTCGCCCTCAATTGTGAATTTAATATTACTTATCCGTCTCTTTTTCTAAGCTGAACTTAATATTGATAGATGTAGAGTTCAGCTGATCTAAGAATGTCTGGTTCAAGTCACGTTTTAAAATTACGAATGTTTCATCATTATCAGCCAAACCTTTGGCTTTAGTAAGTGAGTCAAGACATTCTTCGAAGTTGCTCATAAATAAGTTAGCTACTATGGGTGAAATAAGTGAACCCATAACAACACCGTTAGTTTGGTTGCATAGTTTTCCTCTAAGCAGAATTTAGGGCTTTGACAATGTCACTCGTATTCAGTGGACACCTTTCTGTCAATGATGTGTCTGGTAAACGGGAACCCCTTTCCTTGATTGTCTTGTTAAGCGGAAAGAAAATGGACATTTAGGTATAACTGTTTTCAGGAAAGCAATGCATTGGAACAAACATTTAGATTTCAACTCATCACATCCAATTAGTGCGAAAGTTTCTGTTGCCAGCAGTCTTTTAAGGAGAGCACACACTAATAACGGATGGAAATGAAAGAGTTAAGGAATTAGAATGTGTGAACAAGATACCCTGTAAAACTCATTTGCAAAAAAGAAAATAACACTAAATTAAATCGTAAAACTACTCCTAAATCATGGGTCTCAACAGAAGTTACCCCATACAAATCACACACATTGGATGAAATTAGAAGAGTGCTCAACAAATACAATATCAGTGTTATACAGGACACATTGCAGAGCACCTTAGTTCACTTGAAGGACGAGATTCTTCTAGGTTCACAATCTAATTGTGTTTGCAAAATAAAATGCTTAGACTGCAATGCAATATACATACTTCCCGTGAAATTAAGATTAGGAAAAATGAACACCAAAAGCTTCCATCCAACCTCCTAGAAATTCAGTGGAAGTGTAAAAACTTGAAAATACATCAACCATAGCTCTACACGCTATAATTTCAGGTCACAAGGCCGATTTTGACAGTATCGAAATTATTCAGAGAAGCTTTAGAAATTATAAAGAACGTCTCATAGCAGAATCTCTTCGCATTGAGCGAATTGAAAATTAGGTAAATGTGAATGAGGGAGTAAAACGTAGTTTGACTTGGTCTCAACCCACCCCCACATGTTGACATAACCAACATACATCTAGGCGATAAGATCTATCAACGCATGTGAACATACAAATCTCAATCTGTAATTCATACACTCTTCACACACATCACACTACATATGGATATCACCTTTATTCTACAACTCTGACAACCCAGAATCATGTATGCAGAACGTTTGTCAAGTTATTATATAAGCTTGGGTATTGTAAATTTCGGTTTACTAGAACTTTAATGAAGCTATTAGCGCACTAAATAGCGAAACATCAGTTGAAACAAAATTGTTTTGTTTTACATTCATTAGGAAATACAAATACCAAAGTAAAGATTCGATCACCTGTTAAATGAAATGAAAGTTAATTTGAATGCTAGTTTTCTAGTACTGCGAAAAACAATATTTCATATATGCGTAATGCCAATGCTTTCATTCCGCAGTCTCTTTATCCTTTATAACAATGATGTTTTTATTCAAACAAGAAAATCATTAATAATGAGCACTTCCTTCATAGATGCTACAGAATTAATTTGTTATCTCATATCTAGTACCATCGAATTCAAGGACACTGACTGATGCACTTGTTCTCCATTTGGTTCAACCACCTAGTTCGTTAAGCAACATTGTTTATAGTGTAAGAAAAACTGAAGTGTTCTTGATAAAATAGTGAGATTACTTCGTTCATATATGTTGATTTTTGATGTCTGATATAAGTGTCTAAACCACAGTACTGAATTTCTTGTTGTATTTGCAGTTTTCCTAGTTATCCTAGAAAGCCACTCGACTACTGTTGTATCGTAAGTATAGCGGGTCGTTCAAATTCAGCTTCTTGTTGTGCTTGTTTTATTGTTCACAGCTTTCATCCATACGCTTTAGCAGCAATCAGGTAGTGATCAAATTCGGCACTCCAGGTTTTGATGACTTGTTTAGATAGTATTCTGACTATATAAGTTGAGAGTAGAAATAGAAAAATTATGGTGGTCATTTATAAAATCATATCTCAGCAGGCATACCACGGTAAAGTATTTAGATATATGATAGTATCGATTTTACAAAAGCGGTTATTTCCTGTGTTTTAATGAATAAAATTCGTGTTATGCGAAAGCTAGAAAGTGGTAGCATGGAAGATAGTCCAGTTCTATGGGTTAAATTAAATTTTGCACCCTAAAATAGTGTTGGATTTTCCATCACAGTTTGTTTATTTCTGTTTGCTTATTTCTGACAAATAAATTAACCACGTGTATGTAAATATAGATTTTCGTCAAGCAAACTGAAAATGACACAATCATCGAGAGCTACTGTCTTCCGCATTAGTACGCTGTTTTATTATATTATTATTAGTCCCTTGGGTTCCTAATGGAACATAGGGCTTCAGTAGCACGTCTCCAGTGAACTCTGTTCTCTGAAGTCTTTTCAACCTGGCTCCATGACAGCCCACAAGCTCTCATTTCTTCCTCGCACTATCTCCTCTTTGTCACCTTCGGACAACCAACTCGTCGCTTCCCATGGGGATTCCACTCGAGCAACTGGCCTGACGCGTGATGTCTCCAGTCGGCCTTCTCAGTGTATGCCCAATCCATCTCCGCTTCCTTCCAGTGCATATTTGTTGGGTGAAAGCTTCTTGGTTGTTTCGTTCCCAGAGCTCCTTGTTGCTTATTCTTTCTGGCCATCTGATCTTCAGTAACGAGCCAGCGTAGGCAGTTGTTGATGAATGTCTGTAGTTTATTGGAAATCCCTTTCGTAACGCGTCAAGTCCCTGAACCATACAGAAGCACTGACTTGACGTTGGTGTTGAAAATCCGGATGTTGTTCCACATGCTGAGTGCAGAAGATCTCCACACTGGTTTCAGGCTAATGAACGCCTGTCTTGCTTTTTCGATTCTGACTTTGACATCCTCATCTGTGCCACCTAGTACGCTGTTAGTCTGACCTTAATGATAACAATATCCAGAAGGGTCGTTCATCTTAGGTGAAGGCTGCTGACGTCAGATGAATTTCAATCGATAATATGTAGTAGATTCATGGGAATAATGTAATGGAGATACAGACAATATCGAGAAAAGATAGTTTTCGTTCGACCTGTGTTACTGAGTGTGGAATAACTAAGATGAAACTGTACCCAACTCGTGTAGATGATCAACACCGATAGTTGTAAAATCGTTGTGAGCAGAAATGTCACGTCAGTAGGATTTTCTGTTTCTTTTCATTTAGTCACTAGTTATTTAATAATTTTCTAATCGAAATACCCCGGAAACGTCGAATGCATTGTGTTTCAGTAATACTGTAGTATTCACTGTCGTTACAAAAAGTTAGATACTGCATTAAAAATATGATTTTTTTTTTACTAAGGTAAGAACCGAGTTGTTTGTTGGGTAGGTTGTACTGGAATAAAATAATTAAAGTTTAATAAATAAGTAAAGCTTGTGGCACTGTAATTCAAGGCTAAGTGATTTGTTCACAACAAAAAGAGCGGATTGGAATCTAGTTTCTTCTTTACGCTAAATTTAAAAGTTGCCTAAATAGTTAATCGCTACTATTGTGAAAAATGATAAAATTCTGAAGATAAATGATGATCGACAGGTAAAAGGTGTCTGGAAATTCGATAAAAAATACATCTCCCGATAACTTTTACCAAATACTTTTCATAAACTGTAATTCACAGACTCTTGATGTCTATCTAGCTGCCTACCTGATTTACTTATGGAATCTTTTTTCAGGTACTGGTAGCTGGTAGCACCCATGGATTAACTGTTACTTCAACGGTTATGGCTGCGTGTGATTCACGGTATGTCACATTTATTCTTTCTAGTTTTTGGAGTTTCGGCCATTTTATTTACCTACGTGTATAGACTTCCTGAATGAAGTAGTTTTTTAGTCAATGTATTTTACGTGTGTAGCAAATTCTAAGGTGTGGTTCACTTTACTATTCAAAGTATGTGAAGTAATCACTGATTTCAACAGGCACCAGACAACTAATTGGTTCAGCTTTAGGATTGTACTGTAGTGGCCATCTGCATTTCCTGTTGCAGCCTTAATTTTACTAAGAAAAATCTTAGATGCAGACCTTTTCAGTACTGTTTTTCTTAGATTATTTATACTAGTGTACTGCAGAGAAGTCGTATAGTAAATAAAATAAATAGAAGCTACGCAGAAACTAATTACAGAGTGGTTATCAACCTTATCGATTGTGTAATGGCTGAAGATACTACCTGACTGATTAAAGATGGTACGTAAACAAGAGTTCAAATGTTTTGTCCAGTGTTTAGTATTCGATTACCTAAAGCAATAGATCCCAGCTTTCGAAATTGAGGGAAATTCCTCATCACTACATTTCTTGATTTTTTGTTTTGATTAATGTTGATTTGTATCAAAAACCACTTCAAAATACTTATTTAGTCATTTGTTGCTCTATGTACTGTGCTCCGTAACTATCTTGGTTATAGCCTCATACTTTTCTGTTGTGCTTTTCTATAATTAAGAAGGTTTGCATTATTTATCAAATTCTTGTTTGTGGTTTATATAATAATTCAATGGTTGTAAAATTTCCGACACTGCTAGGTGTTTTACTTTTAATTAGGGTTGAATATAATTATTGGTGTTTTAAAGTTAGGAGCTAGTTGCAGGCTGTTTGTCTTTACCGTTATATGATCAGTCAGCAGGTGTAATTTCGAACAAACAGAAGGCTGTGTCCACAAAAGGTTTCATAGATGGCACCCTTCACAGCAGATGACACCTAAGTAGAGATATCGAATACCTACATGTTTCACACTTCCCTATCTTCTTTCGTGTATCAATATACTCATCGTTATGAACTGAGAACTACTGGATAGCTCTCCCATTCTCCTTCCATAGCTTTTAGTGATGTAGTTCAAACCTTTTAGCATAGAATATTGAAAACCAACATTTCTGGAGAGATAACTTAA